TCTCTCCTTCTCTCTCCGTCTCTCCCCCTTTTCTCGCTCCCTCTCCCTCTCTCTCCCTCTCTACTTCTCTCCCTCTTTCTCGCTCCCTCTCCCTCTCTCTCCCTCTCTACTTCTCTCCCTCTCTCTCTCCCTCTCTCTCGCTATCGCTCTCGCCCTGCTCGTTCGCTCTCCTCCTCTCACCTCTTCCCCTCCATCAGCGTGCCGGACGAGGTCACGCTCTACCTCGAAGTTCATCTAAGGAGGATGGGAGTCTTCGTCAACAAGCCTCAGGTCTGCCAACCTTCCCCGTCTCTCCTCCCTCACTTGCTCCTTCAGCTTCAGGTCAACCACTAACGACCCTCCTGCTCCTGCCGTCTCGTCGCCAGAGGCATGATAGTCGTCCTGAGATCTTCATCAACAACCAATACACATAATCAACGAATCTGTTCATCTTCACAGAACCTAGACAGCGTAAACAAGGTATCTGTAAGTTCGTTGCACACAGCACACCATTTTTCAAAACCAAAGAGTGTTTTATTACATTTGGTTTGTATCGCTCAGCTTAGTGGTCATTGATTCAAAACTTGCTAGTGATAAGAGTTCTGCCAAAAAACGGCAGAGCAGATCTTCGACTGAAGCTCACCGCATGGGAGCTCGAGTCCAAGTCGCTCACTGTCCGTCCTTCCTGCATCAGTACCGAATAATCCCGTATAAATACAATTTAGAAACATTTGCGGTGGACAATGGAAGGGCCCGACTCATCGTACTCCTGCTTGGAGATCCACATCTGCTGGAAGGTAGACAGCGAGGCGAGGATAGATCCACCGATCCAGACAGAGTACTTGCGCTCGGGGGGAGCGATGATCTTGATCTTCATGGTGGAGGGAGCCAGGGCGGTGATCTCCTTCTGCATGCGGTCGGCGATTCCAGAGAACATGGTGGTTCCGCCAGAGAGAACGATGTTTCCGTAGAGGTCCTTACGGATATCGACATCGCACTTCATGATGGAGTTGTAGGTGGTCTCGTGGATGCCAGCCGACTCGAGTCCGATGAAGGAGGGCTGGAAGAGAACCTCGGGGCAGCGGAAGCGCTCGTTGCCGATGGTGATGACCTGACCGTCGGGAAGCTCGTAGGACTTCTCGATGGAGGAGGACTGGGCAGCGGTCTGCATCTCCTGCTCGAAGTCGAGGGCGACGTAGCAGAGCTTCTCCTTGATATCACGCACAATCTCACGCTCGGCGGTGGTGGTGAAGGAGTAGCCGCGCTCGGTGAGGATCTTCATCATGTAGTCGGTGAGATCGCGCCCGGCAAGGTCGAGACGGAGGATGGCGTGGGAAGAGCGTATCCCTCGTAGATGGGCACAGTGTGGGAAACACCGTCACCAGAGTCGAGCACGATACCAGTGGTGCGTCCAGAAGCGTAGAGGGAGAGCACAGCCTGGATGGCGACGTACATGGCCGGGTGTTGAAGGTCTCGAACATGATCTGGGTCATCTTCTCACGGTTGGCCTTGGGATTGAGGGGGGCCTCGGTGAGGAGGACGGGATGCTCCTCGGGGGCAACACGGAGCTCGTTGTAGAAGGTGTGGTGCCAGATCTTCTCCATATCGTCCCAGTTGGTGACGATACCGTGCTCGATGGGGTACTTCAGGGTGAGGATACCTCTCTTGGACTGGGCCTCGTCTCCGATGTAGCTGTCCTTCTGACCCATTCCAACCATGACTCCCTGATGGCGGGGGCGTCCAACGATGGAAGGGAAGACAGCTCTGGGAGCGTCGTCTCCGGCAAAGCCGGCCTTCACCATTCCGGATCCGTTGTCAACAACGAGCGCAGCGACTTCGTCATCCCTGCGCACAGAGGATTAGGAGCCTGCCATGGGAGAGAGCAGAGGATCGAACAAAGTACATGCATGCAAACGGAATACATCACAACAATAGGAAATCTTGCTATCGGCGCCAGCCATACAAGAGTTATCCAACACAACATCACTAGGGTACATTTCCAGTCTCGACACAGGCTACAGCAGGAAATCGAATCATTCCCTCACAGGAGGCTTACATTCAGGAAGATTCGAAATCAAAACAAGAACCATACAACATCACATCCATATCATTTCCATCATCTTTATCTCTGTACATCATACACAGCGGCGACATTCGCCATCTTCTCGCACCCCCGCCACTCACATGTTTTCGCTTCTCTTCGATGGTTTTGCCGCGTCGACACGTCGATATATACCCCCATGCCTACCCCACCCATCACAGAACCTGACCCACCCTATCTTTATCCTATCCTGCTCTCTTCTACCCCTCATATTTCCCTTTTTTTACCCCACCTTTTTCTATGACAATGGACAGGTGTACTCTGTACCACCCATGGGGGACCTCTGGTGACCACCCCCAACCCCGTCGGCCCTCGGGAGCGGCGTTCAAAATCGACGTTGGCCGAAATCGGATCCAAACTTTTCGGACCTCTACAGCAATCTTCAAATTTGACCCAAGATTTTGCTACCCCTGCATTGGCCTTTCTTGTATCATCACCCCTACGTTTGACTGTTATCACCCCCCATTTTCATTGTACCCTACCTATCGAAAGATTTTGAAATTTTGAATTCGAATTCAAACCTGAAAGCCGGCATCGACTTTGGATTCCTCAAAACGACTAGCCGTTGGTCTGAGAGAGGCATTTTCTGTGGAGTGAGGGGGTAGGGGTATACAAGTTCGAAGACGAACCCCTCCTGTCCTTCACGAGTCGTGACAACGGTGGGTGGGGTCGGCATTTTCGCTGAGGGAAAGGTGGGGGGTATTGGGACAAAGAAAGTATTTGGATTCTGTTTGAAACCAATACAAGTGAATATTTCAAAAGTGGAAATGCATGTTCAACCAACTTCATGTTTGCTACCTTCGATCATGCCGCATAGACGGTACTACGGTAGTACAGTAGCCGGCCGGGCCAGTGACTAGGCTAGCCGGGTCCCCGGGCCGCCCGAACACTGAGTTGGCCGCCGAGCTACAATGTGCGAGGACGCAGCACTGGCCCGGAGCACATGAGGGCATACACAGTGACACCCCGGCGACGGTCTATGACGGACGGTACTCCGATCCGCCGGATCGGACCGGACTCCGGGACCGGAGGCGGCTGTCGGACGCCTCGGCCCGGGTCGGCCGTCGGAAGTTTTCATGTCATGGAGCTAGGCTGTGGCATGCATAACTGGAGCTACTTCTGGATCGGCGAACAAGGTACAACTGCAAAACATCTTCAAATGCCCAAGTTGAAACGGATGTTCCAATCTCGCGGCAGCAATCTCTGGTCACAAGTTCTTGACGGTTCAAAAATTTATCTTTTGGTCTTCAAATGCCGGCGGGCACGCTCTCTCTCTCTCTATCTCTCTCTATCTCTCTTATCTTCTCTCTCTTCATCTCTCTTCATTGCACCCGCTCGCTATGCATCTCCCTTATCTCTTTACTGCACATCTAATAGCCCTGCATGAAAATCTTCTTCAGAATGGATGATGGAACGTATGCCAGCCGTGCCAGTCAGATAGCGCCGAGTTAACAAAAACTCTCCTGTAAACCAAGACGACTTACGTGGCGAGGCGGCCAATGTAGCGTATGTAGCCGTCTTGCTAAGGTCCTCTCATGTCTGGATGCTTGGGTTTCACATCCTATCATACAGTCTATCTCTCATGTGCTCCTCAATTCTGGTTTTGTGTGCATTAAACTCGGTCTTGAGCAAAAACTGTCTTGTTACAACTAAGGTCGATGTGATGTCTGCGTGACTTTGGACTAGTACAAGTCTAACAAACTTGTATTCCGTCGGTTATGGGCCCCGATTACATGCTCAATCATGTTGATCTTATATTTGGTTAGTTGAATTGTTTACTGGAGTTTTTTCTTCTTGGTATTGTTTTCCGTTGCTGTTGAAAATTCATGCAAATTCTATCAAGCTTTACTGGCACATTCGGATGATGTCTGCGTGACTTTGGTCGGACTAGTACAAGTCTAACAAACTTGTATTCCGTCACTGAGTGGCCGGGCGGCCGGGCGCACCGTCCGAGGAGCGGCCGGGCGGCGGCCCGCCGGACTCCGGGAGGCCGCCCGGCTCGCCGCCTCATCCGCCGGGATCCTCACCGAGGATGCCCCCGGGCCCGGCAACTCCCGGAGTACCGGAGCCTCAGAGTCCGCCGTGACGGTCCCGCCGCCCGGCCGGCCTCGGCGGCGGCAGTCCCTGACGGTCCGGTGACCCCGGTCGGGCGGCCGGGCCGCGGCCGCCCACCGTCGGTCACCGGGCCCGGTGACCGTAGTGTTGCCGCCGGGCCGGCGGCGGCAACTGAGGGGCAGGCTACGCCGTGACGCGTGACCATCCGACACCGTCAACCGTGGCCGGGCCGGGCCGGCCCTTTGACGTGAGGCTCGGTAAGGCCCACTGCCAGGCTGCCGGGACTCTGCGACTCTGTATCGGACAGGTCACCCGTGGCCCGAAATCGTACTTAATCCGGGCCGACTCGGTTCGTTCACGGTACTTTGGTTGTACCAGTTCCGAAATAATATCTATATATACACTTTAAAACTCTTGTTCACCTGATATTCACCTGCTTTCCTCTAGAAATTTTGAGTACCTGTCCAATGGATTTGCCGATAAAAATACATCGATACAATTATTATATGTCGAAGTTGGCGATGGCATTTCTACATGACCCTGGTTTTTCTCAGGACCCGACGTAACCAGGTGTGGGTGAAAGTCATTTTTCGTACGACAACTCAAAACTTTTCTGAGCCCATGTGAAGGGCCGCTTTGCTCAGCGCGCATGCAAGGCATGAGGCAGGTGAGGGTGGAAAAGCTGATGATCGGTGCTTGTTCGCAAGTGACATCACTGATGACAGATGCAGATGTCGGTATGGCTGCTTCTTGCTTGCTGCTCGTCAGCTGTACATGCCGATCGGCAAACATTCACTGTCGGATCAATCACCACGGTTGGAACCATAGCCGAGATGGCTCAGCTGCACTTCGACTATGGCGTGAAGGATCTCAAGGCGACCAACTTCAAGATCTACTGGGGTCAGCTTGGAAACACCCTGACCAAGTCCAAGCAGACCAGCATTCTGTCTCCTGGGCATGTGGTCGAGGTTTACATGCCCGGCTTCACCGGAGGGTCGAACTTCTTCGGTGCATCTCGTGGAAGCACTGAGAGCACTGAGAGCACGATCAGCTGGATGTCACAAGAGAACAGCGTTGTGATCTCTCAGTCTGTACAAGAGCCATGGCAGCAAGCCATCTCAAGCGACCTGTCGCTGTCTGTGAGTGGACCAGGAGCAGTTGGATGCATGGGAATCGTCGGAGATTTATCATCGAATGCTTTCGACCTGAAGCAGCTCCGGGCGGACGTGTTTGACTACTGTGAGTGGAACGATCAGCGAGAGATGCTGCGTCTGAGGCTGAGCAGCAATGCGCCTAGCACCGTGACAGGAGTCTTCATAAGCAAAGTGAGCATGTATCTCAACTATGACACATCATCCAAGCAGAACGGTCTGGGACCTCTGCCGCCTCTCGGAGGCATCCACGAGGAATGGCATCAGATGGCCTTCGTGTCTGTGTACGAGAAGCCCGCAAGCACATCGATTGACTGCACCGGAGTGAGTCTTTCCGCCTTCGCCAGTACCACCTGCAGCACTGCAAACCTCGTGTACCAAGTACCGTTTGACAAGTACAAGTCACAACGCTTCGGCTCTGACAGGCCAAGACTTCCAGTGAGGAAGGAGGCCGGAGCTGTGGGAGTGACCAAGAACCCCACGTTTGTGTATGCTGCCGCTGCAGGGAACACCGACGGCATCAGCCAAGCCGTGTGCATCACTGTGACGATCGTACCATCCATGACCATCTACTCGTCTCCGACATCGTCTACTCCTACAACCTTTACGATCTCCGGGCTGACAGGGTCTGGTACACCAGATTCAGTCACAGCCTTGTATCAGAACAAATGTCAATGTGAAAGCACTCAAGCAGAGCTCTTCCCAAGCAGGTTCCAGTCTGTCAGCTACGGAAACCAGGTTGGAAAAGCCGACTTTGTCCAAGGGGCGGGCACCTTGACGTTCCAGCTCTTGCCAGGCATGTACATTCAAGCAGGGGAGGTTGTCATCTTCTCGTTTCAGCTCAAGACACCGGGAACAGTGTCAGCAGCATCTAAGCCCATCTCTATCTCAATGTCTGGCACATATTGCCAGATCTCTGACTTCTGCACGGGATCTACCGGTCAGTCCATCACCCTCAACCCGATCACTTTCAGTCTCTCGACGAAGATTCTTCAGGCGGTTGGAAATAAGATCGGAGCAACCATGTTCCAGAGCTCGTCTGACACAGGCTCCTTGTCAAACATGTTTGTGACTTTGTCTCCCAACTTCGATATCCAGACCTCTTCTATCCTGACCTTCACTGGTCTGTGCGGGACTCAGGAGTCTGGTACCAAGGTGAACATAGTTGGTAACAGGTTTGCTGGAGGCAATCCTTTGACGGACAAGTGCTCCACCTCGTCATATCCGACGGAGGTTGACATTGGAGATCCAAGTCTTGGATACACCGGGTCGACGATGGACTGGAGCCAGTCGTCAGGGACCCTCAAGCTCACCCTGAACCAGGCTCTGGCCGCGCGAGGTCACTATGCCTTCGCATGGAGCTGGAGGGTGTCAGATAGGGAGAACTCTGCATGTAACATGACGGTTTCGTTGACTACTGGGCCGAACCAGGTTCAGAACGAGGCTGTGACTAACTTCGGAGGAACAGTGGGTCTTGTTGAGAAACCGTCGTTTACCAAGTACAAGATCGGACAGGTTACTACTCGACCCGACGTGACGAACTACATCTGTGTGACATTGAAGACTAACTTCAACCTTCAAACATACTTGAATGCTGGGATGTACTACGTAGCAAGCATCACCTTGCCAGGCCTGTCAGGTAGCCAAGCGCAGGACAACTCCAACCCGGACATTGTCAACTGCCCTTCTTACGACTGGAACACTCACTCACTTGTAACGCCATCAAAGGCCAGCACTGCGTACTTCACCAGCGCTCTCACTGCTGGAGAAGTCAACAAGGTTGCATACTTCGCAGCTGGCATAGCCAAGTTTGTATTGAACCCAGCTCAGAATCTCCCCTCAGGCCATGAGATCAAGTTCGCCATTCCTCTCAAGAACTCCAAGGTCGCGCAGCCTTGCCAGACG